GAAGTATTTCCTTTATTAATTCTACAACATGCATAGCAGTAAGAGGTAAGGGGCATCATCACAACGGGGAATTGCTGCCATCTGATGTCAGTAGCACCTTGTATAAATCTGGGCGTCGATCACGGAATACTCCCCAACTATGTCTCTTCCATTTGATTTTGTCCAGGTCAAATTCTGCTACTAGTACAGCTTCCTCTTTATCATTAGCAGTTGCAACAATTTCTCCAGTGGGTCCTGGACATTAAATTATGCAAATCCAAGTATTTCTAAAAATTCACCTCAATCAACGAAGGATTGGTTTATTGAAGGTAGTTCTAAATAAAAGTAAGGAAAAATACCTGCAATGAAAGAGTTACCATAAAATGTGATCTCACTCTTTCCATGCTCGGTCTCAATTACCTCTTTCCCTATGCGATTTGAAGTTACTACAGGGACCTGAAATTCATCAAACAAAGATTAATTACTTTTTCTTGGTAGCAATTCAATAGGAAAAAAAAACTCTCAATTCGTTCCAATTTATATATTGCATCTTTGATTGGCCATTATTGGTCCAAGACAGTCACCAGTTTAGAGACTAGACAAACTAAACCCAACTCCAGACATAAGCAGCTTGAAATGACAAGGACAGACAAGCTAACTTTAAACCAACTGAAGTACTTTCTAAATCCAAAAAGTAGCCAAACTACTCTAAAATATTTACCACATTAGCCCCAGCATGCCCTTGCATTACTCGCCTCCAGTGATCCCTAGAATCAAGTCCTCCATCTTGAGGTTCAGAACCAATAGCAGTAGGGTAAAACAATATCTCTGCACCTTGAAGAACCAAAGATCGGGCTGCCTCAGGAAACCACTGATCCCAGCAAATTGCTGACATGAAATGAAGTACTAGCAGAATAAGTTCACAGTCTTCCCACAAAATGTCATTGGTCAACATACACGCCACTATTCTCAACATGATTTCTATTATCTAACAGATAAAGATTGCAGAGTTCAATGAACCACAGACGATATTGAAGATATGCCAGCTTTTGAATTGGGCAGCTGTTGCCCCAAGAAATTCATCTAAACTCAAGAAGCAAGTACTTCAAATTTTCTCACCAACTCCAATTGTGGCAAACTTGGTCTTGAAAACCTGCTTACCAACAAAATTACATCATCAATCACCACCAATATAGAAGCAACCAAAAACAGCATTATATATAGATTGTAATTGTATTAAGCACCCACCTTGAATCCAGTGTCACCTGGATTGAAGTAGAACTTTTCCTGGTAGCCTGCAGCAGAAAAATTGTGGCTTTTATCATAATTACAAGATGAGATCAAATAAGAGGAACATTGTGCAACTTGAATACCTGGTCCGTCTGGGATGTGAGATTTCCTATAAAGTCCAAGATCTGCCCCATCAGCATCAATAATGGCAATTGAGTTGTAATGGGCATTATTTGCCTCTTCAAAGAAGCTAACTGGTATTACCACACCCAACTCTTTTGCAATTTTTTGCATCCTACAGAGCATGCAATAAAATACATAAGTATT